CCAAGCTGGAAAATCATGTAAAGGAGAGGGAAGAAGAAAAGCGGTCCAATCTCTTCAGGGGGGAATGTCACATTGAGAATGGTGGAACAAAGCTGAACATTTTGGCATCCAGTTTCCATGCTGACAGTGCGGCTGCACCTGTGTAGGTTAAACAAACCTAGCCATTATTTCCTTAGAAGGGACGTGAAGGTGTGAATTCACTTGTCTATCTCCCTCCCTCCCCAAATTACCAAAGACCCATTGAATGAAGGTGGGAGTGCATGGTGACTGGTAGGTTCATGGCAGGGAGTTTTTTTTTTTTTAAAGATTTTATTTATTTATTTGAGAGAGAGAATGAGAGAGAGCGAGTACATGAGAGGGGGGAGGGTCAGAGGGAGCAGCAGACTCCCTGCTAACAGCAGGGAGCCCGATGCGGGACTCGATCCCGGGTCTCCAGGATCATGACCTGAGCCGAAGGCAGTCGCTTAACCAACTGAGCCACCCAGGCGCCCCCATGGCAGGGAGTTTTTATGAGAGAGTTTGAGTAGCTTAAGAGATTTACCATTTGCTTCTGCAGGCAAATTAAAATTTGGAGAGGTGTTCGGCTGATGAGGGATGAAAGTGTGAGTATCATTCATTGGCTTGTTCTATACAGTTTACATATGGGACAGCTGCAGTATGAACATAAGTAGAAGATGGCCTGAAATGCCTGGGGACCTTGTCCCGTTTCCTAGTTTCTGATTTGAAGATCTTTAATTCCAAAACCATAATGATTAAAAAACAAAACGAGGGGGCGCCTGGGTGGCTCAGTTTGTTGAGCGTCCGGCTCTTGGTTATGGCTCAGGTCATGATCTCAGGGTTGTGAGATCGAGCCCCACATGGGGGCCTTTGTTCAGTGGGGAGTCTGCTTGAGATCCTCTCCCTACTCCTCGCCCCCCCCCCCACACTCACTCAAATCTTAAAAAAAAAAAAGATTCAGCCCCATTATCTATCTTTGGAATATACTCTTGGTTTTGCTCTCGTTTTGTGGACTGAGGAATGGGATGTTTACATTTACTGAATACACATTTATTGAGTTGTGATAGTAGTGTTTTAAAATAGTTACTAAAAATTTCTGAAAGCTGTCTCAGCACATTTATTATGGGGGAACTTAATTACTCTGATGGCCCTTGATTATGTGGCCATTTATCACTGAAAATTGACATCTAGTGGTCATTGAAAGCCTTTTAACTCTAATCATGTGCTATATCCTATAATTTGTTCTTTATTAGTGTGGTTCTTAAAATGGATAATTTTTTAAGTTGTATTTTTAAAGCAATTCAGTTTGGGGGGGCAAGTGGGAGGGCACTAGGGTGCTACTAATGTTTAGACTTCTGCATAAATATTTGTTTATGGCTGAAAAGAGGCAAAGTTTCTGAAATGTACTGCACTATGTAGACGGTGTGTCTGATAATCCTACACCAGATTGTAAGGCTGACTGTCTCTGAAAATAGCCCCTGAGTTTGTGAATTGGATTAAAGTACAGCAGAGGTCCATAGCCACTTCAACTCTTAGTGCCACTTAGCAGAGCTGTCACCCAGTGGTGTCCTTGTCAAGACTAAAGCCTCGGCAGGCAAGGTGGAAGAGTGGAAAAGGAAGATGATCATCACCATGATGACATGGAGCTACTCCAGAGTCGTTTAGCTACCAGATTTCAGCAGGAGATGGAATCTAGGCTCAGGAGGGAGCACTTCATCATGAGCTGTTGCTCTTTGGGTTATTAGATGCTTTTGTTCCTAAACCATTTAGTAACTTACTCCAATGCTGGTCACTGTCCAAAGTTCCTTGTTCACTTGATGCATTTGTACATACTGCCAGGAAAATGCCTCCCCCGGGTTTTGGATCTTACCTTTTCCTGAGAGACCAGGACAAGAGTGAGGCCGGTGGGACGTTGAGATCTAAAATAATACCTACTGAGAGAGGCAGAGGGAGAAGCAGCCTTGGCAAGGAGCCTGCTTCTCTACCTCTCTCTGTCTCTTAGGAATAAAAAAAAATCTTTAAAAAATAAAATAATACCTACCGTCCATTGAGGCGGAAAAGCGTAGAGAGGATGTAGCCCAGCAGGAAGCCGATGAAAGGCATCAGGGAGGAGGTGGCCAGCAAGTGTGGTGTCATGACAAACATGATACTCTTGCCCACATTGATGACAGAAAGTGCTATGATGGCCACGCTTAACAAAAGCATGATGATCCTCCCTCCCTGTAAATGAGGATAGGAAGAAAAGGCAATTAGAAGGGTGGTAGGGGATAGGGAGGAGCAGAGAGTCTGAGGAAGCATGGGTGGGTATCAAAGGTGGGAAACATTTTAATGAAAAAATGGTATTTGAAGAGGGAGTGCAAAAAAAACTTTATCTTCCATCTTTTTGGAATTCTTAGGGGTTCCAAGCTAGGAAGCTTCTTGACAACAGAGACTTAATATTTTTGTTACTGTTGACTGTTAAAAGAACAAGAGAGCCAGATATTTACCAGCAAAATGAATTCTGGAAATCGGTGAAGTGCAGTTTGGGACAAGCAAGCTATGGTGAACCGGAGCCAAGTGCTGAGAACAGGCCACTAGGCTTTTAGAGAGGACAAGCTGGGAGGGGCTGTTTCGCTGAGTCCTCATTGGCAGGGCTATTGCTAGGCCAGGAGAAATTCTTCCTCCTGCTGGGGTATGTAAAGTAAGCTTTCTGTTGGGTAATGCAAGGTATACTTCTTTTGGCAGTTTGAAGTGTTGGGGAGCAGTGTGGACAGGTTTTCTTGAATTCTGTTTTGGGCAGGTGGGTCAAGCAAAATAGGCACTCTTTGGGACCTTGTTACTATTTCCCCGCTAGTATTGGTTCATGAAGACTTTCCAGTAGTCAGTAATGGGAACTTTGAGTCTCTAGCAGTACTAGATTATTATTTGGCCAAGCCAGAGTTTGTTGTTTTTTTTAATTGAGCTATCAGTTAATAGATTTCTAATACTGTTTTTCCTTTTCTGGGGCCAGTTGTTGAGCATCTCTAGTCAGTTTTTCTAGATTATCATTTGGGGGAAATCCTTTTGGACCATGACAGAGGTTTGGTTGTTGGTTCATTTGAGAGCAGCATTCTTTGTGGAAATATCAGTGAGGTGGTTTCCTTTAGGTTCCAGGGAATCAGGTTTAGAATTCCCAGGACCTTGATGATGGCCAAGTGGCTGGCAAGAGTATGGCATCTAATAATTCCTGGACATAAAGGCCATTTTTAATTTTATTCTTGTTAGAAATGAGGAAGCCTTGCTGGTTCCATAGCATTCCAAAGTCACGAGCTACTCAAAAGGCATACCTACTCTCAGGCGAGTGGTAGTCCCTTCAGGGCTTCCCAACTGTATTTTGAATGAGATTTCCTTTATTTTCACGTTACTAAGCCAGCATGGCTTCTGGTTGACATCTTTGGATCACGGATTTTTCAGTAAATGCTGTGACTCGGAAGGAATGAGACTGTTCCGTCCTCCCACAAGTTTTTAGTTACAAATTAGAAGTTTTCTTACAAAGTCATTATTTCTGGAGCCTGTATACACATATCTACCGTATTACCATCACTCACTCCAAATATTTTGGAACTCAGAAGTTATTCTTGGAACCTGTCATACTTGTCTCAAATACCTCCATTATGGGTACAGACTGCATCCATTTTAGGATGAATTTGATTTCTGGAAGTTGCCAAGAGTCATTTGAAGTGAAGCTGGTAAAGGTGGGTGATCAAGCCAGGTAATGTGATTTTAGACCCCAAATGATTTATAACCATAAAGGGGCAAGCTTACTTTCTTAAGTGACCTGCAGATTGGATATGAAGGAAGTTACCAAAAAAAGTTTCAGAAATGTTCTGGGTAGTAAGGCAACATCAGAAACAATGCAGGTTCACCCTGCCCCAGGTGAGTGGCTATGAAAGCAGTATTTATTGGGAACAATGGTATGTTTTCATTTATTTTAGAATTTGCTTTATTTTAAAATTTGTTGCATCTTACATACCATTTTATTTTTAAAAAGATTTTATTCATTTATTTGAGAGAGAGAGAGAGAAAGACCAGAGCATGAGCTGGGGGAGGAGGCGGGGAGCAGAGAGAGGGAGAAGGAAACTTCCCACTGAGTAAGGAGCCCGATGTGGGGCTCCATCCCAGGACACTGGGATCATGACCTGAGCCACCCAGGTGCCCCCATCTTACATACCGTTTTAAATTTTCAATAGGTGAATTTATGATGAAATTAACAATAAGACTTTTTAGTGTGTAACATAAGAATAAAAGCTTTCAAAGTGCACTCACATGTCTATGCATTTTAGAGAATGACACACCAAAGTGATAAAGTATATGCATAAATTTAAGGCTCTTTATCCCTCTAATCTTTTGAGTAAAGGAATATATAGCAAACTTTTGTTGAATTTACCATGCTATTTTCTAATTATTAGGTGTATTGCTTCCAGTTTCCAATTCATTCATGTGACATGTTTCCTAGTAACATTTTAAAATTGTGATAAAGGGCGCCTGGGTGTCTCAGTCGGTTAAGCCTCTACCTTCGACTCAGGTCTTGTGATCTCAAGGTCCCTTCTCAAAGGGAAGTCTGATTCTCCCTCTCCCTCTGCGGCCCCCCCCCTGCCGTTTGTGCTCTCACATACTCTCTCCCTCTCTCAAATAAGTAAAATCTTAAAAAATAAAAATTGTAAAATGTATATAATACAAGTTGCCATTTTAACCATTTTTAAGTGTACAATTCAGTGGCATTAATTATATTCAGGAAGTTGTCTTGGTAACATTTTAACATATTGCTCAAATTTCAGCTGCACTGTTTTGCATTTCTATGTTTGAATCCATGTTGCAGCTGATGTGATCATTTAAAGATTTTTATTTGAGAGAGCATGAACGAGGGGGAGGGGTAGAGGGAGAAGGAGAAGCAGACTCCCTGCCGATCAGGGAGCCCGATGCAGGGCTGGGTCCCAGGACCCTGAGATCATGACCTGAGCTGAAGTCAGATGCTTAACCGACTGAGCCACCCAGGTGCCCCCTGATGTAACCATTTAAATGTCACCTGTACCAACTAGTGGTTCTACCCCAGGATAGGAAGGACTTTCACAGACCTCATTGATAACCACATGTTTCAAGTTGTGTTGGAAGACTTAACTGATGAATTGTCCAGTTTGCATTTGGATTGATTTCTCCTTTTGGATTTTTCCTCTACTCAATGACCAAATAGATTTTGTCCCCATCAAGAGTGTAATGGGTAATGTAGGGGTCTTTGGGCTACAGAAATTGTCCATGAGCCCAGAAATCCTCTTCTCTGTGGGCAGCTGCTGTATTCCCTCACTCTTGTTCTTCCACTCTTTGGGGTTGTAGAGTGGTTTTGAGCACACATGTTGGTGTGACCCCGGTGTGAAGGCTGGCTCTGCCAGTCTGTAGGAGCATAAACTTCGCTCAGTTGCTCAACCTTTCTGAGTGAGGTGGACAGCTCAGCACCTGGCATATAAGAACTGACTCACTAAATTGTACCTCCTCTTACTTTTCACGGCTAAAGGAGAGGAATTGACCATCCCAAAGCTTCCTGTTACTCTCAGTCCTGCCATTTGTCCACAACCTCCTGCTGTGACAAGAGGCCATAGGTAGTTGCTTCTCCACAGGTCACCATGTTTTTTGCACCAGCCGACTTCACTGCTCTGTGAAAGCTGATGGAAGCTGTGAGGAGAGTACATTCACAGGCAGCCAATCCATCCGCATGCCGGCGGCCCAGGACATGATCTAGCTCACTTTGCCCACAAAGGTGGCCTACACAGGTTGCTGAATGGCCAAACTAAGAAGATCATCTCATTTAGGGAGTTTGCAGAACTAGAGAAAAGGCAGCAGAAGCAGAGGGAAGTGTTAAAAGACACAGCAGCCTGACAGCAGCCGAAGCCGCCAAGTTGGCAGACATGTGAGACGGAGGTGGGGCGGTTCTCCCGGTAGCAGCAGGGAGGGGAAAAGCATAGGGGGACGGGCTGAGTCACTGTAACAGCACGACCCTTATTTAAGGGTGGTGGATGGCTTGTGGTAAAAGCGGACCATGTCATGCTGAGGTTCATCAGCCTGACCGCATAGAATTGAATAAACCCTGGCATGGGTAAGTTAAAGTATTAGTTGAATTGCCATCCCAAATAGAGCATCCTTGAAACTGTATCTTGGCCTATCTAAATGTGACCTTCCACAAAGTAATGCAAGGGATGGAACAGTTTGAGCAGATGTCTTCTGCCAAGCGCCAGTTATCAGAAGTTGGGTAATTGTGATTTGAAAGTCTCTAGAAGGGTTAAGTGTGGAAAAAGGCGGGGACGAGTGTTTGCTCATTTTTCAACTTATCGTTCACTGTATCTTCTACAAGAGGAAGATCTCACTGGACTCCATTTCTGCTGTTGAATTGAGTGGCAGGCGTGTAACGCAACAGGAATAAGAGCCTGACTGATAGTCCTGGCTCTGCCATGTAAGTTCCCTGGGCCTCAGTCATTCCATCTATAAAATTGGAATAAGGCAGGGGACTGAACTTCATCTTGAAAGCCCTTCCAGCTCTAATCTGAGATTGTTTCTGCATCCTCAGATGAATACTTTTAATTAAAGTTACTCTGAGTTAAAAAGGAGACATACATTCTTACATTAGTTGTGACGCAGTATAGTCCTTGGCTTTGTCACCTATAAAATGGGGAAGAGCAGAGTTGCATTAAATGATACCACGGGTCATTTCACATTTTTAATTTTTTTTTTTTTTTGCATTCCTATACCTCCACAGACTATCTTGAATAAAATTACATGATAGACACAAAGGTTTCTGGGGTTTTTTCCCCTGCTAATGTGGGGAGTGTCCCAGGTGGAGGGAAGGACATGTGCAAAGAGAAAAGAGCTGGGACTGGAGAGCCTGGGGATAGCAAATCAAGAAGGGCCTGGAAAGCCACACTGGGGAGTTTTAAAGTTTATCCTGGAGAGCGTACAGAACTGATGTGTTTTAAGCACAGTAAGAGAGACAGTAAGAGTTTGTACTTTCCATCTCCATCCGCAGGTTAAAACTGGATCAGGGAGCCAGGTTAGAAGGCTGTTTCAGTTGTCTTGTGAGAGAGGATAGTGGCCTGAGTGGATGATAGTGTTCTCAGAGATGGGGAGGAGTGGATGGATCCAAGTGACACAAGGCAGAATAGACAATCTCCTATTTAGGTGGATATCAGAGGGGATGGAGAGGGGACACTGAGAACGATTTAACGGTTTTGTGGCTCAGGCAGCTAGGCACATGGAACGCCATTCCTTGAGATAATCACATGGGGAGGAGCAGGCTTGGAGAGGAGATGGTTTTAATTTAAGACATACTGAGTTTTAAATGCCTGACGCATATTCAGGTAGAAAGATTGGGCAATTAATAGATGGATTCTGGAGTCAGGAGAGTTGAGGGCTGAAGATGGCATTCTGGAAGTCATCAGCTTGTGGATGGTCATTGAGATGGACTAGATTTCATGGTGGGGAGATCCTGGGCTTAGGGAAATCTGGTAAGAAAAGCAGAAAGCCTGGGCTGAAGGCAGAGAAGTAACTTTCACCAGATGAACTTACTAGAGAGTCAAAAAGAAGTGCCAGAGAGGTAATAGGAGAGCAGGAGTGCCCGGATCACCACAGCTGAGGGAGAAGGCTTCTGAGAGGGAGGCGATGGTCAACCATACCAATAGTTACTAAAAAGTTAAGGACGAACTGAGAAATGCCTGTTGGATTTGGCAAAGAAAGTAGAACAGGTGGTCATCATCATGCTGAGCGGATGGGAGACCAAGGATGAGAGAAGAGAGGGATTCAAGTAGCTGAGACTAATTGTTGAGGGCCTGTCACTTGTGAGAGCGGCCCTGGTGGGTGTGGTGGGAGTGGAAGGTGGCGGGGGGGGGGGGGGGGAATGCAGGTGCAGGGAGGGATGTTTCCTGAAGCATGGGTAGGGGAGGAAAGGCAGGTGTTGGAGCCCAGTAGAGGTTGTTTTTGTTTTTGTTTTTATAGCTAGGAAAGAGGTGAACCTGTATCAAATACTGATTGTGAAGAACCAACCAATGCAGAGACTTAAGAAATGAGAGCAGAGGTGGGGGAGGCTGGGGGACTTGGGGATCATCATCAATAAAAGCTTATCTCTGAGAAGCAAGAGTGGAGAGAAGGGATGCTGCCCTTCAGAACTGAGGTGGGGTGGTCGAACATGGACAGAAGGAGGAATGACTTGACCAGGTCTTCCAACAGGGCGGAAGGGGAGCTGTAGCCGCTGTATCAGGACTGGGCCAGGACAAGGGCAAACCTACCCTGGATGATGGTAGTGTGAAAATTGAAAAGTCCTGAAAACTTGACTTACATTTTCTTTGTCTCAGGCCCAAAGCTGCTGCCAACCCTTGAGCTTCCAAGCAGCAGGACTTGTAGGCTAGGCTGGCCTGAGGCAGAATCCTTCCTGAGGACGAGCTTGGAGCCCCGGCCCTGGGGGATGAGCAGTGAGCTGGAGGGGGAGACTGACAGGGACTGAGCTCCAGGGTTACAAAGTTGGTAGATGGTCCATCACAGCACTCCCAAGAGTCTATGATTCTTCTAAGGGCAGGGAAGTGGCGTGATGTCCTGTGTGTGACCACAGTGCTCCTCCAAGCCCCCTCTACTCCTCTCTCCCTCCCGTCCCACACCTGAAATGCTGAGAGTGCGTACACTACCTCTTCCCCTGTTTTCCTCTGGCTTCTCATCAAGTCAGCCAAGTTGGCCCTCGTTCCCCCAGAGTTCCTTTATTCGGGCTTCTCCCCCAGGCTGACCCAAATCCTACCCTTTCTTCATGGTCTACCCTCACCCGATCTTCTTGCATTCAGCCAATACTTAATTGTACACTGTATTTGATCTGATTTGTCATGTGTTATCACTTCACTTTCTGCTAATATCAGACTCATTGATGACAATGAAACCTCAGAGTATAGCATAAAACTTAGCATCTAGGAGGTACATAATACAAGTTTTTTATTATGAAAATAATGATCATATAATTGTGTGTGGTGTTTTCCTTCTTTCTCCTAACTTTTCAAAAGTACTCTCATGTACATTACAATCCCATGAAGTAGGTGTACCAATAGCAGACCCTTTTCTTTTTCCAATAAGGAAGGAAACAGACACAGAGAAAGCCCAGTGACTCTCCTCAGGCAATACACTGAGATGATAGTGGTGTTCTTGCTCCCTGCACAGGTCCCCAGGTTCTTACCTTGTGGACATAGCGTACATATTGTGGCCGTTTGGCATTGAGGAAGATCCCAATGGTGCAGGGAATGAGAACCAGGACTAGTGATACCACAATGCCTTTGTAGGGTATCTTGCTCTTCAGATCCCCATCATAGATCCCCCTGGAGTAGACATACAGGAGGAAGGGCATCATGCCCAGGGCAAAGAAGGTGGAGCAGGTGGTCATCACGATGCTGGGTGGGAGAAGCAGGAAGAGTACAGAGAGAGCCCATTAACATAGACTATTCTGTTCATTACCTGCTATGTGTCAGGCACTGTGCTAAGCATTTTACATACATTAATTTTTTTCCGGTAGGCTTAGGAGATAGATACAGGCTACAGGTTGATATTCTTAAGTTCTTTACTTTCTGGTTTATCTTTACATTATTTACGATAAATAGAGTGTGAGTCCCAGAGCCTGGATAATATATCTTCTCAGCTCTAATCTGTATCCTAATTGTACTATTACCATTTCCATTTTCACTCCAATACATGTTAGTCCTGTATAGGGAGAAGCCTTCCAGAAAGGCTGACTGAAAGAATGAAGCAGCTAGGGAACATTGTTGTATTTGTGGATATTCATGTGACAATATATGGCTCTGGCTTCCATTCTTGTGGGAAGGTTGGGCATGAGGGGTTGGCAAGACCCCAGGAAAGCCCCACTAAGTGTATGTCTCTCCTCCCCACAACCCTATTATCTATCTGTACTTCTTCATTGTTTCCATAGAGGTGAAATATAGCTTCAGTGAACATCAAGCATGGCCTAGGTCAAAGGGTCCAGAGTATAGCCATCAAGGACAGCAACAGGTAGAGGTATCACTAGGAATAAGTAGATGTCAGAGGTGAGGAGAGACCCTCAAAGAATATTGTGAACTAAATAATGGGAAAATCCTTCTTCCATGAATATCTAAAACACCTAAACACATATTTGAGCTTGTACGAAAGTTAGGGAGGTTTCCAGGTGCCAGCAACAGAATGCAAAGGAGTTGGTGGGTGAGCTCATGCTGAAGCCACACTGTGTGGAGTGGGTAGGGGGTGGAGTTTAGTCTTGGTTATCTGGAGGCTTAGGTTTTCATGATAAAGGGAGGGACTAGAACTGAGGTCTATATTTGTGAAAAGAGGAGAGTTGAAACCAAGAAATCAATAATAACTATTGGAAAAATAAAGTATCTAATAATTTCATGTGTCAAATATAAAATCATAATGGAAAAAATATTTGGGACAGAATAATAATGCAACACATATTTTAAAACACATGGGAGATGACCTTGGATTCACAATAGTTTCTTAGAAAATGACATCTAATACACAAATACAGACTCAAAATGGATGAAAAACCTAAATGTGAGACAGGAATCCATCAAAATCCTCAAGGAGAACATAAGCAGCAATCTCTTCGACCTCGGCTGCAGCAACTTCTTGCTAGACACATCTCCAAAGGCAAGGGAAACAAAGGCAAAAATGAACTATTGGGACTTCATCAGGATAAAAAGCTGCACAGCAAATGACAGATAACAAAACCAAAAGATAACCGACAGAATGGGAGAAGATATTTGCAAATGACAAATCAGATAAAGCGGTAGGATCCAAAATCTATAAAGAACTCATCAAACTCAACACCCAAAGAACAAATAATCCAATCAAGAAATGGGCAGAAGACATGAACAGACATT